ATGCATATTTTATTACATAGCGGATGACACGTACTATTTTTTTTTTATTTTTTTTTTAGGTTTTTGTTCTTTGGATACGCTAGCTGAAGTAGAGGAAAACATAAATAGAGCCATTCAATATTCATCAAGGTCTTTTTCCTCTTTAGTGACCCCACTGTCAATCTTCATTGCTGGACTTTGTCGGGGTGTAGTGTCTACTTCTTTGTGGCAAACGTCTACAAAAGGTATACTCTGTATGATGACTCTCTCAATGTTTTTCTTTTGAAGCACTAACATCCCTTTTTGTGACTTAGATTCACCCAGTGTGCCATTGTTGGGGCGAAAGTTTGGGAAAGATATTCTTGCCCAAGTTCAGGAGGAGCGTGCTAAAAATAAAGCCTCGCCACAGGGCTCCTCGTCCCTATCGACAAGGAGATTTGGGAGTGATGTTCTTTTGCAGGTTCGGGAAGAGCGTTCTAAAGAGAAGGCTACACCTCCCCGCTATCCTAAGAGAACTCGACCACTCCAAAATCAAGGAAATCCTACTTCTATTGACGATATTTTCCTTGCAGCTGCTCATGAACAGATTTTTGATACAGGAATGCACCTCCCTGAAAATGCCTTTACTCATTAAGTGCATCTATTTTGAATGATGTGAATTATGCAAATGACATAGTTGAAAACATGCTGGTGCCTCCATATGACTCTGAAAGGCTCAAGGGGCTTCCCTCCAAGCAGCTCTTAACCTTTCATGCCCAGAATGTTTGCAAGGTAAAATCGTCTTACCTCCTTTTACTCTTGAGTAATGTATATTCCTTGTCGATAATTACTAATTTTACTTGTGCGCGTAGATAGAAGCATTCGCTAAAGAGCTATCTCGACGTACGAAGCTCTCCGAAGAGTCTATACTAGCACTGGATTCAGAGCTGACAGCTGGAAGGGTAATTTGCAAAAAAGGTTGAGATTGGCTGTACTAGAGAAAAAGAAAGGATCGAAAAACATTTCCAAGCTAGGCTAGTGATTGAAAAATCTTCTACCGTAGAGGAGTACAAGGCCTCAACCGAATTTGATTGAGCCAAATTATTATTTTTGATGGTTTTGAGGAGTTTAGACAACAAGCTATGGCCACCTATGAAGATCTGAATTTTTAGCATTTTTAGCCATTTGCTTTTAGAGACCAGAGTCTAAGCAGACCGTGCCAGGGAGGATCAAAAGAAGAAGGACCGAGCCATTAAGAATGAGATCAGTAGAATCCAGCCCTGGAGGCCCACAGCAGTGGGCATTTTACATCTTGAATGTGTAACTTTATTGCATTTCCTTAAGAACAATGTTTATTATTGCTCTGAATACGACTTTGTAGTTTTGTCGATTTGGGTTGGGCGCTGTTATTTATTTTTTCTTTTTTGAAATCTATAGCTTGCCTCTTCTTATTAACCTTTTTAATGCAGCTTATTTGAGTATAACCTTTATAGTACAGGGATAAGGGCTATGGGATTCATTCAGCCCGAGTCCTGAAGTGCAGAACACTTCGTTCTTTATGTGACGATCCCTTGTAATACAGAGACATTAATCACGGGATTCATTCAGCCCGAGCCCTTATAATATGGGGTATTTAATGTGGGTCCCTTATAGTACGGGGACAAGAATTACGGGATTCATTCAGCCCAGACCCTTATAATACGGGGCACATTAATGTTAGTCCCTTATAATACAGAGACAACTTTATATCTATAAGATAGATGAAAATATAAATTTGCACAACAATTAATGTGATCAAAATGGATTTTATTGAGAGTTGAACCGAAGATGTACTTGCGGTAACAAATAGAAATAATCTAAGCGACACGATGCTGAAACGAAAATAAAAGCAGCACTCACTAGAAGTAGCACAAGGCAATATGAAACTAAAGGCACGTACTAATGTCTAACTATACTGATAGTACTTCTTGAGGTGCTCAGTATTCCAAGGATAGGTGAGTTACATCCCTCCTATTGTTTATAGCCAGTAGGTGCCTTGTCTCTTTGTTTGAACAACCATACAAGGGCCTTCCCAGTTAGCAGCAAGTTTACCCTCGTTTGGTTCCCTGGTAGCTTGGGTGACCTTGCATAAAACAAGATCCCTGGGCTTGAACCTCCTTTCTTTTACCCGAGAGTTGTAATATCGGGACATTATTTGCTGGCATGCTGCCACCCTAACTTGGGCTTGCTCTCTTCTTTCTTCAACTAAATCCAAGTTGACTAACAGCTTTTTTATCATTCTGGAGGGGGTCGTAGTTGGTGGTCCTAAAACTTGCCAAACCAGTTTCTACTGGAATTACAGCTTCACTTTCGAAAGCTAAGAGAAAAGGAGTTTCTCCTGTTGGGGTTTTTGAGGTGGTTCTATAAGCCCACAACATGTTTGGAAGTTCCTCTGGCCATAACCCTTTTGCCTTTTCCAGTCACTTTTTGATTAAGCTAAGTATTGTCCTATTTGCGACTTCGACCTGCCCATTGGCCTGCGGATGGCCGGGAGAAGTATAGTGATTTCTTATTCCTAGCTGAGAACAGAAATCCTTGAAAATGGCGCTATCAAATTGCTTCCCATTGTCCAAAACAATAACATGGGGAGCACCGAACCTGCATACTATTGATTTCCACGTGAAATCCTTGACATTATTTGCCGTACTTATGGCCAGTGGTTGGGCTTCCACCCATTTGGTGAAATAGTCAATTGCCATAACAGCATGCTTGGTTTGCCCTTTTCTTGTAGCTAAGGGGCCAATCAAGTCCATTCCCCATTGGGCGAAAGGCCATGGGCTCAACATCGATACTAGCTGCTCTGGGGGTTGCCTAGGAACATTGGCAAATCGTTGACATTTATCACACTTTCGCACGTATTCTAATGCATCCTTCTGCATGGTAGGCCAATAATAGCCCTGGCGTATAGCCTTGTTGGCCTAGGATATGCCCCCTGCATGGTTCCCGCAAACTCCTTTGTGTATTTCCTTCATAATATAATAAGTTTCTTTAGTTGACACACAACATAGAAAAGGTAAAAAAAAGCCTCTTTTGTAGAGAACTCTATTCACGAACGTATACCTGGGTGCTCAAATCCTAACTTTTCGAGCTTCCACGAGGTCTTGTGGTAGTTCCCCGTCCATGATGTACTTTATTATTGAGTTTGCCCACTCTAACCCTGGTTCCAACTGGTTGATTTCCTTGTATTCTTTAAATATACTAGGCTCTTCCAGATACTTAAGTGGTATAGCCTTAGTATTCTCAAGCTCTACTGCGGTTGCTAATCAAGCTAATACATCTGTATTCTCATTCTCTATTCTGGGTATTTGTTGAATCATAAACTCCTTGAAGTAACTAACTAGGCCTCTTACCTTTTGCAGATATAATTTCATTTTGTCATCTTTAGCTTCATACTCTTCATGAACATACCCTGCAACCAACTGAGAATTAGTAAATACCTTTAAGTGTTGCACTCTGAGAGCTTTTGCCAGTTTCAATCTAGCTATCAAAGCTTCATACTCTACTTCATTATTGGTGGCCTTGAATCCAAATTGAAGTGCATACTTCAAATTCTCTCCTTCTGGTGATATAATCACTAACCCTACCCCACAGGCTCGGGCGGTCGATGACCCGTCAACATAAAGTGACCAAGTATCCCCTAACTGGGTCTGATCTTTAGGAGTCATTTAAGAGATATAACTTCATCTTCTTTTTGAGGGAAAGAAAGCTCTGCTACAAAATCAGCAAGTGCCTGACCTTTTATTGCTACCCTTGGCCTGTACCTGACGTTAAACTCACCAAGTTCCACTAACCACTTCGTAAGGCATCCTGATGTCTCTGGCTTGAAAACTTACCTTAATGGTTGGTTTGTTAGCATTATTATGGTGTGTACCTAGAAGTATGGTCTGAGTTTCCTTGCTGCCATAACCAGCGCAAAGGCTAGCTTTTTTATTGCCGGGTACCTTTCTTCTGCACCCCGAAGTACTCGGCTAGTATAGTACACCAGCTTTTGAATACTACTTTCTTCCCTAATCAATGTTGAGCTTACTACTACAGGGGAAACTGCTAGGTAAAGGTACAATTCTTCTCCAGGAATTGCTCGGGATAACAACGGTGGTGAACTAAGATAGGTTTTTAGCCCAATGAATGCCTACTCGCATTCCGGGGTCCACTCGAAAACTTTCTTTAGTATCTTAAAGAAAGGAAGGCATTTGTTGGTGGCTCGGGAGATCAACCTGTTCAATGCTGCCACCTTCCTGTCAGTTACTGGACCTCTTTAGTTGATTTAGGGGATCTCATATCTAGTATTGCCTGAATCTTCTCAAGATTTGCTTCAATTCCTTGGTGACTTACTATATACCCTAGAAACTTTCCTGAGGATACCCCAAAAGCGCATTTGCTTGTATTCAACCACATCTTATATGCCCTAAGCACATCTAAAGATTCCTATAAATCAGCTAAATGGTCTTTAGCCTTGAGGCTTTTTACCAACATGTCATCCATATATACTTCCATGTTTTTACCTATGTATTGCTTAAACATTGTGTTAAATAGTCTCTGGTAGGTGGCACCGGCATTCTTCAACCCGAATGGCATTACCTTGTAGCAATACAGACCTCTATCAGTGATAAATGAAGTTTTTTCATTGTCTGGAGCATACATGGGGATTTGATTGTATCCAGAGTAAGCGTCCATGAAACTCAGTAACTTGTGCCCTGCGGTTCCTTCAACCAACATGTCGATCCTCGGTAAAGGAAAACTATCCTTTGGGCAGGCTTTATTTAGATCTGTGAAATCCATACAAAGCCTCCATTTGTTACTTGCCTTCTTAACCAGGACCATATTTGATAGCCAGTGGGGGTATTGCACCTCTCGAATAAAATCAACCTTCAGGAGTTTCTCGACCTCCTGTGATATAACATGGTTCCTCTTTGGGGAAAACACTCGCCTTTTCTGTCTGATTGGCTTAAATGACAGATCCTCTTTTGTGTCCATGCAAACACATCTTTATTGCTTCTAAGAAGTTAAATAAGCAAATCCCGGATGAGGGGGTCGAGCAGTGACCCTATACTCACTTTTTTCCCAGTTCCTTCTTCGTCCAAATCTATCTCCACAAGGTCTTCTACTGGTTCTGCCCTTAGAGTGGGTTCCTTATCCATTAACCCTTCTGGTGTCTCAATAGCCAATGTTTCCCTCAACAGTTTTGGTTTTAGAACGGCGGCATAGCATTCCCTCGCTGTTGCTTGGTCACCTCTTAATTCACCAATGCCCTGCTCTATAAGAAAGCGCATCAATAAATGATACATGGAAGTGACGGCCCTCATAGTATTTAGGGCAGTTCTCCCTAATATTATGTTACAAGTAGACGAACAGTCCACCACTATAAAATCCACCATTATAGATATTTGTCTCGGTCCGGTCCTGGCTGTCAACGGAAGTGTAACCATTCCCAAAGGAAAGACCTTTTCTCCTCAAAAACCAATGAGGGGTGACTTTGTTGGCCTTAACCTTCCCCTACCAATACACATTTTGTCAAAAGCTTCAATAAATAACAATTCAACTGAACTGCTATTGTCTATTAGTACTCGATGGATTGTGTAGTTGGCCACGACTACTGTTACCACCAATGGATCGTCGTGTGGCTGCTGAATTCCTTTGGCATCCTCCTCTGAAAAGGTGATGACCCTCCTTCCTATCTCGGGAACTTCGTTTGAGGCTCGGATATCCTAACCTTGTTGACCCCGGGCTCTCCTGATGTGGGCCTTTCGTGCCGAGCTTGACTTTCCCCCACCTGTGAGTCCTCCAGAGATCACCCTTATTTCACCCAATGGGTGCCTAAGAGGGTTATTTTCCTTATTTTCGCGAATAGGTTGACCCGTACCCTTCTCACGATCTACTGCTGCGTACCCATGTAACTTCCCTCGACGAATTAGGCTCTCAATCTGGCTTTTTAAGTCAAGGCAATCATCGGTATTATGCCCATAGTCTCTATGGAACCAGCAATACTTGTCTTTAGACCTTCTTGTAAAATCTGACTTCAACTTAGGGGGCCACTTCAAGGTGTGGTCATCTTGGAGCTGCATTAGGATTTTACTAATAGGAGCATTCAAAGGAGTGAAGTTAGTGTAGCTGTCTCGCCCTCTAGGGACTTTCGGGGACCTATCCGGCTTGCTAAATTTGGAGTCTCTTTCGTCTTTGGAAACAAAGGCTAACCTCTTCTTATCTCCTTTCTTGTCGTCGACTCCTTTGCCCAGCCTAGAATTCATAGCACCTTCGACATTCATATGTTTTTGGGCCTTAATAAATAACTCTACTATACTGTTTGGTGGGTTTTTGGATAAAGAGAAAAGGAATTTGGATGATTGTAGTCCTCCTATGAAGGTTGTAAGAACAACCTTGTCACCCACCTCATCGACTTGCAACATCTCCGTATTAAATCGGCCAATATGATCACGCAACACCTCCCCTTTATCTTACTTAACATTCAGCAAGTAGGTAGCTGGCTTCCGGTGTCGTCTCCCTATAATGAGCTCTTTAAAATTACTAATAGACCCAGGCTTCAATTTATTAGACCAGACACGGGCTGATCCTTTGAGGGTTGTGGGGAATGCCCTGCACATGATCTTAACTGGGACAGCTTGTAAGTTCATCAGTGACTTAAACGTTTCTAGGTGATCGAGGGGGTCATGAGTTCTGTCGAAACTCTCTAGATGGGGCATCTTGAACTTCGTTGGCAATGGGAGAGCCATTACCTGAGGATTGAAAGGTAGATTTGTCTTTCGAACAAGGTCATCAACTGTGGCAGGACCTTTTCCTTTTAAGGCTAGGGCCATCCCTTCCACTTACAATTTGAGATCCTGGATTTGCTGATCAACATGGGTAGCTTCAGTGTGTTCTCCGGCATCAGATACATCCTTGCGGCGACGAGGTGTTCGTACACCGAAATATCTTTTTGTGGAAAACGAGCCGTGGAAACACGACGGTTTCTTCATCGACCTTCTACATGGCTGTGCCCAACTCTATCATTATCATTGTTACTTTCCATAATAGGTGCTGCAGGGATAGCTAGGTGCTCCATGATTGCTGCATTTTGTTAGATCAACTGGTTCATACCTTGACTAAGGTTCTGAACATGCTGTTCAAATACTACAACACACTCCCCCTCTTCGGGAGCACGTCTTGACACACTCTCATGATGGGACGCGTGCTCAGAATGTTCTCCCCTTAGGCGAAGCTGATCATTCCCGAGGCGGGGTTGGTTGTCGTCATGGTGTAATTAACGATCACTATCATGACACGATTGGTTCACACTATGCTTATGATGGCAACTGTCATTACCATGTGACTGATTTTTGCCATCAGGTTGATGGTGGCTACTATCATTATGTGATTGGTCTTGATGACATTCATCGTCAAGACACGAGGGGTGCTGACTTCCTTCTCCAAGATGGACTCTGGATCGTAACATCATTGTTATTCTAGGAAACCAGTATCGTTTCCCATAAACGGCTCCAACTGATGATGCAGAATTCCGCGGCGACCCTAAGTGATATTGTACCTGAAAAAGGAAGAGAAAAGTGATCAGATACCAGTGTGGTACCGGCCTAAGAGCCTCCGACGATCAAGTCAGTGCTAGATCAGAAGGGGAAAGAAGTTCAGAGCTTTCTTAAGGATTTATGTTGTACCTTTTATGTTAACCAGAAAGCCTTCATTATAGGGGTGTCAAATTGTATTGAAGAAGGAGTAGTATTCCTCATACTTTTCCAACACGGAAGGGAGAACGTATTCTTATCCTTATCCAAGATAGTGGAGTTTATCCTGATTTACAGCTTTGTGTGACGGTCAAACTTCCTCGTTGAAGACTCCTCATCAAGAGGCTACATCATGGACTTCATAGAACTGCTACCAACATTGCCCAGTCAATTTGTGGAGAGGTTTTACTTCTATCAAATATGGAAATAGGGGAATTTGGGGCTGCTTCATTACATGTTTAAATTGGGTGTTTTTTTTTTCTCTTTCCTCTTTTGTTTGCTGTAACTACGCTTCGTAGTTATAGTTCTATGTATTTACAATTTCTTATTTTATTTTCCAAGGGGATGCCCTTGTTGTTACTTGTATATTCTTGATCGATAAATCTATAAAAAAAATTTCCACACTTACCCAGTAAAAAAAAAAAGAAAAAGCTCGCCTAAGCCCCATGTTAACAGCCAAAAGTGAAACATATATACAAGAAACACAAATCCTCTATGCTTTGGAGCTTGAACTTCAGGAGGGATTTGACGTAGAGGAGGTTGTTGGATCATATTGGGGTCTAGATAACCAAGATTCACATTGTGGTATTCCATTGGAGTGATGTGATGATCAAAATTGGAATGAGAGGAATGTTAAAAAACATTCTACCTCACGTACACAACAACAACCAACAACAACTTCACAACAATCAATAACAAATAACAATCAACCACAACCTTCACATTTGATGTTCCCTTACTCCCATGTTATATCAATGCAATAAAGTAATGGCCACGACAAGGATCCATGCTTTCAACATTAAAGTAATAGCCAAGATAAGAGCCTATGCTCGGTAAAAGTTGGAAATCTAATTTTTACGCATATAATATTATTTTTCAACATAGGTCTTATAAGTTAGAGCAATGTGACTTTTAGTGCGTGTCATCGATGTACAACCAAATTTGTGCAAAATAGTGTGGCTAAGTTTTAAATTTATAAATGCCACTACTACCTCTAACTAAAAATATAGTTAGGGTGAGTAGGGATCGTCCCAAGGGATTGTGGGTGAACTAGCAATGGAAATAATATATAGGTTAGTAGGTCGAGTAATCAAAAGTGGATTGTTTGGTTGATTAGACTACAAACTAAACTAAACAAGTTCAATGTAAAATAAACAATTTAAATGAAATTTAGAGAAAACAAGAGAGTGAGGTCTTGGGGTCTAGAAGTCACTACTAAACATCACTATTCTAGACATTTAATGTATAACTAATGAGGGGAAACATGTGTTGCAATTTGAGAGTGTGTGATTGATTGTTTCAACAAGCATGGATGACCAATTAAGCATATATTGTTTAAGCAACCTAGTGAATAGCACAATACATCAAACTAAGCCATTAATCCTTCCTTTAAGCTCACAATCCAATCACATCACATGGTTAGAGAATAATACTACTTGCATTTATAAGCATGGAACATCAAACAACAAGCATGGATTGTCCTCCCATCTAATAACTAAGGCAACTACACTACAACTAAGCTAAGGGCATGAAAATTAAATTAAAGAAACTAAGAGAGAGGCACAATCCATCAAGACATGAGTATGAACCATTAAATAAACTACAATAGTATTATATTAAGCACTATGCCTTGATAATCTCTAGATCTATAGCATCAACACACATAGACATGCATCAATAACTAGAGATAAACACATGAACATATATTCTAGCATACATAGACATATGGATAGAATGAAATGATCAATTGGAAGTATTAAACCACACAAATTATTGAATAAACAAGATTCATATATAAAATAAGTGTCAAGACAAGATTACAACATAAATCCCCTCAAAATACAAAGCATTAGAGTCTAGAATGCATGCTTAGGGATAACTATAGCCCCAAGAAGATGTTTAGGCACTCATTGAAGTAGTCATCCAACCCTCAAGGGCTATCTCCATGGTAGGAATGACCTCATTCTTGATGGAAACCTTAGAAGAACGGAAGAACTCCCAAAAATGTGTCTCTAGCCTCTCCTCCTCTCTTTTATTCCTCTCTAAGAATGTTTCTAAGTATATCTCTAAGTATATGATATCATATGTAAAAGTGGCTCAAAATCCTTATATAGGTAGCTCAAGTGTCACACCCAATGGTCTGGACTTGTGCACAAGGGCTCCTCTCAATGATTGCACCATGAGCCAACTTTTAATGAGCTGAAACTTATTTTTTTTCGGACTTGAGGAGGTTCGATCAATCAAACTGTGTTGAGATTAATCAAACTTAGGTGAGATCCATCAAATGCTACAGAGATCGATCATCCATGGCGGCGCCTTTTTGAATAAAGACAAATCTCTGAGATATTTTAGGATATTTTGGGAAAGAGACAAAAGTGGTAGGTAGGGTGGTAGGTGTGGATAAGATCGAATATTTTCGATCGGTCAAAGAAATATTGGATAGATCGAACTTGGTAGATTCTTTTGGATAAGAACAAAGGCTTGGATCCATCTTTAAGTGTCTAGATCGATGTTGCTTCGATCGATCGAAGTGATGTTGAGATCGATTAAACTTGCTGATTTCCACACTTTGCTTCATTCTGCTTCCACTTTGCTCCTTTCTTCCATCCAGCTTGAGTTAGCTTCTTTAATGCTCTTATTTGGCTAAATTAACTTATTTTTGGGATAAGCACCTAAAAAGGGCAATAACATGAAATTAGTCCAAGACGGGAAAATAAGATAGATAAAGGTCCTAGAATACCTAAGCTTAAAGGGTTTAATTGCGCACCTTTCAGCGCCAATCACACCCCAAAACTTAAATATTGCTAGTCCCTAGCAATGAACTATGAAATAAAGGAATGAAATGAATGACCAAACAACTATGAACTAAAAAACAATAAATGGATGACGCCACATTTGTAGGGAACACGATTGCATTTAGCGCTAGCAACAAGCCTTTTGAACCCCTAGGTTACCCCCAATGGACGAGTGAAGTCTCATGAGGGTTTCCAAAAATGATACCCATAAACATTAAGCTCATTCTCACAAAAGAGGCACCAATATTGCAAACAAACATTGGGAGAAAACTACCTCAAGTATGCAATTTTTCAACCATTTCCAAGCAATCTCCCAAAATTTCAACATCAAGCAAACAAGTATAGTCCTCCACACATCAAGAAAATGATCATACAAATCAAAACAACTCTAGAATCCTTTTTGAGTGGACCAGCATCAAATATGTTGCTATCTAAGCCAATTAAAGAAATGATCACATCCTTACCCTTAAACTAGCACACAAATCTAGTACCGATCATTAAGACAAAGAGTGGACCTTTTATTAAAGCTTTATTGATCTATATGCGATTATTCTTTTCACACGTTTTTTTTTTTTTTTTTTTTTTTTTTTTTTTTTTTTAAAAAAAAAAAAAAAAACACTAATCCTAAGGATCAAAGATGGAAGCATGGTGCAATGTGTTGATCTATTAAGCTTTCTAGCGATCCATGAGATCGAGCGTTAGGTCAATGACTCCCAAACCAGACGGCTTTAGGGCACTAGGTGTTTAAACACCCCTAAGGACTTACAAGCTCAAATCAATTGGGTTACAAATCAAAACAACCTTCATCTAATCATTTTTCACTTCTCACCTTTTGGGAGAAGTCCTCACTTTTTTTTATTGCTTTTGCAACATTTTTTT